AGACAAGGTCTTGCCAACTTGCCCGGGTGGGTCTCGAACCCACGGGCTCAGGCAATCCACTCGCCACGGCCTCCCAAAGTTCTGGGATTACAGGCTGAGCCACCAAGCCCAGTCACAAAAGTTCTAAATGTGGAGCAAGTCCAGTTTATCACATTTTTCTCTTATGGTTCTTTTTTTTTAGTCACAGTCTCACTCTGTCGCCTAGACTAGAATGCAGTGACATGCTCATGGCTACTGCAGCCTCGGCCTGCTGGGCTCAGTTGATCTTTATGCCTCAGTCCTCCAAGTAGCTGAAACTACAGGCGAGCACTAACACACCTGGCTAATTTTTTGATTTGTTGTAGAAATGAGGTGTTGCCAAGTTGCCCATGCTGGTCTTGAACCCCTGGGCTCAGACAGTTCTCTTGCTTCCACCTCCCAAAGTGCTGGTATTACAGGTTTGAATCACTGCACCCAGCTTTTCATGGTTCTTAATTTTGTGTCCTTATTGTATTTGCCTACTCCCAAAGTTCTAAAGATGTTCTTCTATGTTTTCTTCTAGATCTAGAGTTTTAACTTTGATATTAATGTTTAATATTTGAGTCAATTTTTGTTTTTGGTGTGAGATAAGGACCAGTGTTCATTCTTTTCTATACAGTCATCTAATTGTTATAGCACCATGTGTTTTTTTGTGTTTTTTTTTTTTTGAGTTGGAGTCTCACTCTGTCGCCTAGACTGGAGTGCAGTGGCCACTCCCGGCCACCGCACTCCCTGCTGGACTCCGGCGATCCTTCCGCCTCAGCCTTCCGAGTAGCTGGAATTACAGGCATGCGCTACCACGCCCAGATGATTTTTTTATTTATTGTAGAAATGAGGTTTTGTTTTTTAAAAAATTATTTTAGATCCAGGGGGCACATGTGCAAGTTTGCTTCATGAGTATATTGAGTAATGGTGAGGTTTGGGCTTCTATTGAACTATCACTCAAATATTAGACATTGTATCTATAGGTAATTTTTCAACTCTCACCTCCTTCCTCTCCTTTTTTGGAATCCCCAGTGTCTATTATTTCCATCTTCCACTGTTTGCTCTCTGGCATAAATGAGAATATGTAATATTTGATTTTCGACTTCTGAGTTAGTTAACTTAAGATGACTGCAAGCTCTATCCATGTTGCTGCAAACGGCATGATTTCATTCTTTTGATGACTGCATGGTATTCCATAGTGTATATATACCATTTTCTTTATCCAGTCTACCACTGATGGACATTTAGGTTGGTTCCATGACTTTGCAATTGTGAATAGTCCTGTGATAAATATGCTAAAGTAGGTGTCTTTTTTTTTTTTTTTTTTAGTTGGAGTCTCGCTCTGTCGCCCAGACTGGAGTGCAGTGGCTGCTCCTGGCCACTGCAGCCTTGACCTGCTGGGCTCTGGCGATCCTTCCACCTCAGCCTTCCGAGTAGCCGGAATTACAGGTGCATGCTACCACGGCCGGCTAATTTTTGATTTATTGCAGAGATGAGGTCTCACCAAGTTGCCCAGGCGGGTCTCAAACCCGCGGGCTCAGGCAATCCACTCACCTCAGCCTCCCAAGGTGCGGGATTACAGGCTGAACCACCAAGCCCGGCATTGTGTCTTTTTAATATAATGACTTATTTTCCTTTGAGTAGAAGCATCATATGTGGAAATGACTTTTTCCTCCATTACATTGTCTTGGTACTTTTGTCAAAAATCCACTGACCATATAAGCATAAGTCTATTTTTGGACTCTATTCTCTTTCATTGATCTGTTTGTCTGTCCTTTCTTTAAATCCCACACGGTCTTTATTATTGCACCTGGATAGTAAATCTTGAAATAAAGTCATATAAGACCTCAATTTTTAAAAAATTATTTTGAAAATTCTGTAACTTTGTATTCTATATAAATTTTAGTATTAACTTGTCAACTTCTGCCACAACAACAAAATACATGCTGAAAATTAGGATCACTTTGAATCTGTAGCTCAATTTGAGAAGAATTGACATCTTAATAATATTGAAGTCTTTCAATCTATGAACCTAGTATATCTCTGCATTTTTTAAAAGTTTTTTTCCCCCACTTCTCCCAGCAATAGTTTTCAGTTTTCACTGTAAAGATCTTATGCATTATATTAGTTTCATAGGTCTGTTGTAATAAATTACTACAACCTGGGTGGTTTAAAACAACATTAATGTATTCTCATGGTTCAAGAAGCCAAAAGTTCAAAATCCAGGCATTGGTGGGGTCAGTTCTTTCCAAAGGTTCTGAAGTCATTCTGTGCCTTCTCCTAACTTCTGATATCTACCAGCAATCCTTGGCATTCCTTGGCTTATACACACATCACTACAGGCTCTGCCGCACTCTTTAGCTGTCCACCTGGCCTTCTCCTTCTGTGTATTCATGTCTTCTCCTTTTCTGTCTCTTAAAAAGACACTGTCATGGGATTTAGGACCCATCCTTATCTGAGATGATCTCATCTCAAGATCCTTACCTTAATTACATCTGCAAAATTCTTTTATTCCAAGAAATGTCACATTCCGAGGTTCTAGGTAGACATAATTTGGTGAGGGGGAGGGGCACAATTCAAACCACTATGTTCATCTTTTTGAAAATTTATTTCTAGATGTTTTGTGATTTATAATTATAAGTGGATTTTTATTTCATTTCCTAGTATTTGCTGCAATTATATACAAAAAGAATTCAGTTGTGTGTATTAATCTTGTATCTTGCGATTTTACGAAATGCAATTATTAGGTCTAGTTATTGTTAGGTGATTTCCTGCCTACATAAACAATCATGCTGCTTACAAACAGGGGCAGTTTTGCTTCCTTTTGTATTTATGCTTTTTATTTTTCTTGCTTTATTACAATGACTAACACGTCCAGAGCAATGTTGAACAGTAGTTAAGAGCAGGCATCTTTGCCTTTTTCCCAATTTAAGGGGGAAAACATTGTACATAGTTCACCATTAAGTATGATGTTAATGAATATTTTGCAGCTTGTCCTCTATCAGACTGAAAAAAATTTTCCTTTTATTCCTAATATGTTTAGAGGTTTAAAAAAAAACCTGAATGAGTGTTAAATTTTTATCAAAGGGTTTTTCTGCATGTATTGAAATAACTATGTTCTTTTTCTCATTTATTTTATTGGCAAGGTGAATTACATTGATTGATTTTTGAATATAAAGCCAATCTTACATTCCTGATATACACCCTAATTGGTCATGATGTAGTTTTTTGATGTTATTAGATTTGATAATATTTTTAAGGATTTTCACATCTATGCTTATGCAGAATATTGATTTGTAATTTCCATGTAATTTATTTGTCCCATTTGCTGAAAAAATGAGTTGAGAAGTATTCCCTTTTCCTCTGTTTTCTGAAAAAAAAATGTAAGATTAGTACCATTTTTACTTGCATATTTAATAGAAATCACCAGTGATACCATTTGGACCTAAAATTTTCTCTGTGGGAAGGTTTAGATAAGTAATAAATAGTCTAATAAATATAGTGCTATTTAGGTTTTCTGTTTTATCTGTGTCAGTTTTAGGAAGTTGTATTTTTCTTTTTCTTTCTTTTTTTTAGTCAGAGTCTCACTCTGTTGCCCAGGCTGGAGTGCAGTGGCACTCTCATGGCCACCCCAGCATCAACCTGGTGGGCTCTGGCAATCCTTCCACCTCAGTCTTCCAAGTAGCTGGAACTACAGATGTACACGATCACGCCTGGCTAATTTTCTATTTATTGTAGAAACAAGGTCTTGCCAAGTTGCCTGGGCTGGTCTCAAACCCACAGACTCAGACAATCCATTCTCCTCAGCTCCCCAAAGTACTGGGATTATAGACTGAGCCACCAAACCTGGCAGGAAGTCATATTTTTCAAGAAATGTGTCCATTTTATATGTTACTAACCTATTTATTTTTATAGATCTAACCTAGATATTGTCTCCACTGTGAAACTTTCCCTGACACTTATAACAGAATTTATAACTTATAATAGATTTCCCTGCCTTTTTGCTGCTCCTTTACCTGGTTTCATTTGTTCTCATTACCTTCTATTGAGGTTTGTTCACATGTCTCTTCCTGTACTAAGTTAAGGACCCTGAAGTTCAATGATTGCATCCTATATTTATTTGAGTCTTTGCCAATTTGTATGGTGCCTAACATATAAGAGATTGCCTCCCTTTCCCAAATGTTTAAATTACCAAATTACTCCAGTTAACATTGTCTAACTTATAGTCACACAGGCATGTATGTAACTTTCTCAGTAGATTGCATGCATCTTTTGCAAAAATGGCATGTATTATTTAATGTTCATATTCTTTCTATGTCCTGCATTTAGAATACATTTTTAAAACTGTTAAGTTGAATAGACTTGCCAGACTGCACAGAAAATCAGTAATTTATGAACTCAGAGAAGAGAGGTTAAATGGAAATCTGGAAAACGTGCATCAATAAAGGAGGGAAATAGCATGAGTGTTTACTATGTGCCAGACCTTGGGATAAATAATTTATATTCCTTATCTCATTTAACCCCCAAAATAATTAGGCATAGAAGATATTAAACCTATTTCGCAGATCAAGAATTTCAGGTTCTGTAAGGTTAAGTACTTTGCCCAAGTTCACAGAGTTATTAAGTGACAGATCTGGATTTCAAATCCATATTGAATGAACTCATTATCCACATTCTTGGTTTCAACGATACTTTTGTCCATTCGTTTTTTTTGCAAGATGCTTGATGAATTTTTGTGAGTTACCTTTAAACTTTGCTACAATGTAACATTCTATGGTCCCCCTAATGAAGTGTTACGGATTCCTCTGTAAGTTTAGAAAAGTTCCAAAGCATTCCCTAGTTACTTGTTCTTGTCTCTAGCATGAAATATACAAGAGTAGCATAGAAGATCCAAAACAGACTTTTTCTCAACGTAAACTGCATAACTCCCTGTTGTCATCACACTATTCTACATCAGCCTTTTGTCTGTAACCCTGGCACTCTTTTGATGATATCAGATGCCACCATTCTGGTTTTGTGGGTAACTGGGGCATCATTGGTTCCTGTGTTTCTACTCACATAGTGCAAGACCAAGGCCATGATAACTCAAGCAAACTCCATGGCCTGGTATGAAAGAAGAGAATCTTTCTTTACTGCTGATCTTACCTCTGTGTATAATACATCTTGATCCTGTATAGAAAGGTCTTTGGGCTAATTTGTGCATGACATATTCCTTCTCCTCATACCTTAATACAGGCTATGTGAAATACCCGATCTAATCCCCTCTGCTGCCGCTAACTAAGAAGCTTCTGCCTTTAGTCTCTTTTATCTCACTACACAATATCTGTAAGTCACCTAGATCTGGGTTACCTATGATTACTAAGCTTTTCCCAATTAGAAATATGACTCACATTTTGTTTTACCAGTGTATCTTAGTCAAAGAACTAGGAAGGAAAGGCATGATTAAGGTTTTTCTGTAATTCCAGCCTATCAACTGAAGCAAGATGTTTCTGATGTCTTCCCAATGTAAAGAACAAGCAGTAACAGCATTTTGATTATTTATTCGTGTACAGTACTGTGGTGAGAAACTTGCTGCATCTCCAGGGAAATTGTTTGCAACACATCATTGAGGAGAGGACTTAACAATTCACACTGATCATTCCCTGTGGTCTGCCATGGTGAGGGTGATACTTTCATGTATTATAAGCACCAGACAAGAGAGTTGGATCAATTCTCTCTTTCGATATCCTAGTCTTGGTTGGAATAACTCCCTTAGGCATTCACTAAGAAATAAAACAAGTACTCTTTTAGGCCTGTTCACAATAGGGACAAAAAAAAATTCCAAAAAGCATCCCTGCCTTTCATGCTTCAGACATCAACATGGAGGCTGAGTGCAGTGGCTTAGCCTGTAATCCCAGCACTTTGGGAGGCCCAGGAGAGAGGATTGCCTGAGCTTGGGGGTTCAAGACCAGCCTAGGTAACTTGGTGAGACCTCATCTCCACAATAAATTTAAAAAAAAAAACAAACCCCAAACAGAAAACAACAACTAGCTGGCTATGCTGGCATGCATCGGTAGTTCCAGTTACTTGGAAGGCTGAGGTGGAAGGATCACCTGAACCCAGCAGGTTGAGGTGGCAGTAGCCGTGAGCGTACCACTGCACTCCAGCCTGGGCAACAAGAGTGAGACTACAACTCAAAAAAAAAAAGGAAATCAACATGGAGATCTGTCCCACTTTTAGGCAATAGATACAGCTTCGTTGTGGTCTGTGTATCAATCTTGTTGAGAGGACATTGTTGAGACTTACCGTTAATTAACTGTGTTTATTCAGACAAGCCTGGGTCAGATTATATTCTGTATGGACATAAGAGAGAAGTGGATGGAATAAACACATGACCTCTTGGAAGCTGTTTCTAGCTGAGGACTTTTCTGAGCAGCCACTTGAAGTTAAGGGAAATTCCAAGAATAGTAGGAGCTGGGTAGAAAGGAAGGGCAGGATACAACTGCCTTTTTCTTCCCACTAACACTGTACTTAGGCAAAGTATAGTCCTTATGAGAGCTGCCTTATAAAAAATTGCTGCAAGAATAGAATGGATGTCAAATTCTGGCTTTTCTTAAATGGTAGCTTCAAATTGTAGTAAATTTGTTATACCCCACCTAGTGCTGTAGAGGGCCAGAAAATAGCTTTTAGATGCTAGAAACTGGGTATGTGCTCTATGTGGCCTGGATAGCTTGAGCCTCTGGCGGTTCCATTTACCCAGAGGCAAAAGGCTACCTGCAACTGGAGGCTCTTCTGGGCCCCAACAAAGGCCCTGTATTGCCTAAGGAAACAGTGTCTCCTCTTAACAAGGTGCAATCTTCACTTGTTTGCTATGAAGGATAATGTTCCTGGAAAGGTGCTCCAGAGACCTTCCTATTTAACCAGAATACAAATTAAATTGTTAATGCAATTCCCCTGCCAACACCCTATGAAAGGAGTGAGTTGGGACAGATAACAGCAAGATATCAGGACAGATTTCCCCCATTATTTGGGCTGCACAGCACAGAAGGGAACTTGATTTCAACAAGATGACCCAATTCTTAGCATGCGTTTCTACCTACTTTTACCCAAACTCTTCCAAACTTGGTTCAAATTGTACAGAAAAACAATCAAATGAAAAAAAAAAAAAAAGGAAGATAAACTGACTAGTTAAAAGTAAAATGATATTCCATTAAAACTAAACTTGTGGCCAGGCGCAGTGGCTCAAGCCTGTATCCCAGCACTTTGGGAGGCTGGGATAAGGAGATTGCCTGAGCCCACAGGTTCGAGAACAGCCTGGGCAATTTGGTGAGACCTCATCTCTACAATAAATCACAAAATTAGCCGAGTATGATAGCGTGCACCTGTAGTTCCAGCTACTTGGAAGGCTGAGGTGGAAGGACCAACGCTGGGGTGACTGTGAGCGTGACACTGCACTCCAGCCTGGGCAACAGAATGAGACTCCAAGTCAAAAAAAAAAAAACAACAAAAAACCCAAAAAAACTAAATAACTCTGTGATTAAACTTCAGGGCAGCATAAAGTGTCACTGTCCTTTACAGTTTTGAATATATTTCATTGGTACATGGAAGTAGATATTTGTCATACTGTTAATAATTACTAAATTGTACACTCAGCATTGAGCATCAGAATAACCTTGTTTAGGCCAGGTGCGGTGGCTCAAGCCTGTAATCCCAGCACGTTGAGAGGCCGAGGTGAGAGAATTACCTGAGCCCACAGGTTCGAGAACAGCCTGGGCAACTTGGTGAGATCTCATCTCTACAATAAAAAAATTAGCCAGGCATGGTAGTACGCGCCTGTAGTTCTGGCTACTTGGAAGACTGAGATGGAAGGATCACCTGAGCCCAGCAGGTGGACGCTGGGGTGGCCGTGAGTGTGCCACTGCATTCCAGCCTGGGTGACGGAGTGAGACTCCAACTCAAAAAAAAAAAAAAAAAAGAATAACCTTGTTTAGTCACAAGGTTTTCATTTTCCTTCTGTACATTTTTAAAGCTTGTTTCTGAGTGGTGGGTCACATAAGCTTTCAATTTTAAATAACACAATCCATTTATTTCACTAGGCATCTTTATTCACTTAAAGTGAATAATCAGATTGTGATTGTATTGTAAATAAGTCATTCCTTTTTTCCCCCTTACAAAATAAAGTTAAAAACTTGTGCTAAAAAAGGGAACCGAAAGAAATAGAAATTCCACTTGTTGTTTATGAACTCAGTTATTAGAGTAAATAGAACTAGATCTGTGGGGGGAAAAGAGAAGGAAATAGAAAAGGTATTTTACAGCTTTTACTTAGAGCTACTTAGTGTCCCCTTCTCTGCTTTTTTCTACCACCCTGACCCAATCCTGCCCACGGTTAGAGCCAAGCTCCCAGGGCAGCTCAGATGGTGGAAGGAGAGTACAAGTGAGGCTCTGAGCTATTCTTCCCTAGTGATCTTAAAAACTCTAGGCAAAAAGACACTGTCTAGAGAACCTCCTTCTTGCATTTCTAAAATTGCATCAGAGAAACTCTTAAACTGCATTGGTGATCACCAAAGTCTCTGTAAGCAAAGATTTTCTGCTTGTGAAAACAAAAACAAAACAAACAACAACAACAAAAAAACCCACTTAATCTTGCCTGGGATCTTTTGAGGTAGGAAAAATGACAAGAAACAAACTTTCCCTATATTTCTATGTGTTGGGTGCGCTCCTGGAAACAGTGGAGGACTGTTTGCCAAAAAGTCTTGGCGGCTTTCAAAGATGGCTGGCCAAATCATAAGAGAAAGAAAAGAATAGGTTGTTGCAGTACTGCATCCAGCATTGTGTATAAAGCACAGGTTGCAGCGTAGAGAAATCTGTCATCTGAAAACCTTGGGACACATGTCATCCTCTTTTTACTATATAGATGTCTCACATAGGTACCCTGTTCCTCAAAAATATTTTTTTAGAAAACAAGAAAAATACAATCATCATGATCCTAAAGAAACAAAGCTCTTCATTTTTATTTTCTTTTCCTTTTGCTTTTACATTTAAGAGTTAAGACAGCATTTCAGGAGAGAAATGTGGAGAAGGGTAAAGGGAAATCAATAAAGTTATTCTGTGACTTTTCCCAGGAGGGAGCAGTGTTCATCGAGAATGGCTTGCTTGGCTATATATCAAGTCCAAGGAGAGAGCAGCAGTTGATTGTGAAACAGATTTCCCAGCTAGGCTGAAAGAAGTATAAATACATACATATCATAGCATATATACACATACCCACTATATATATGTACCTATACTTGAATATATACACACATGAACATACACATATATAATTTTTATAAGGACATTGTATATGTATATATGCTTTTATACACATTTATATATTAAATAGATTTTAAATACATATATAGGCATATGTGTCTATATACACATATATTTAAAAGTTAGATAAGAATAATTTCTTCAGATAATTAGTAATCCCAGCCAAAAGCTCTTCTAACAATATTTTCAACATATTGATCTGAGATCATTTTACATTTTAAGTTTCTCCTAAAAGTTTTTGATTCCTAGAGAAAGAAATTGATGCACAAAAACCTAAAGTGGCAGATAATGGAATGAAAACCAGATTTCCTGACCCAAGGCCAGTGGATATCTTGACCACAGGAACCTTCTAAAAAGGCTCTATGGGTCATTCATGTAGTTACGTTCTTCCTTGATAAACATTATGGAAATTCTGAGCAGGTCTGATTTCATCAGAGATCATGAAAGTGAAGTTGGCCTTGGAGTTGCCCAATTTCACTGGGCCTTGGCACTGTGCTCATTGGAAGCAGTGGGAATTTCTTCATTGACAAATGCAAACATGATTGGTTGCAAGTCAGGATACCTGTGTACTGGGCCAGCTTCATCATCACAGTCCTATCTTGAGTGAGTTATATATTTTTTTCATGACTTCAATTTCCCTTCCTATGAAATGGGATAAATAATTCTTATCCCTTCCCAACAATATGCTTTCTTATTGTCCAAGAATCTTGTCAAAATTCAAGGATCAGAAGATAGCTAAATGGGAATCCCCCTTTCATGATCCAATCTGCTATGATTAATTCTCCATGCTAAGACTCTTAGCATTTCTTTTTTTCTCTTCTCTTCTTTCATCTTCAAACTCAAAATTATTTTTAACATCAGCTAAGATGCTCCATTTTTTTCTAAATCCAAATTCTGCCTGTATCATAATTGTTAAGAAAATATTCTTGTAAGAGATTGGAATCTGGACAGAAAGAGGGACTCCACAATTCTAGACTTTCCCTCGAGGGAACTTGAGAGTTCATCTAGTCTGATCCTGTCATTTTATAGTTGAGGGAGCTAAGGATCTGAGATGTGAAATGTTTTGTCCAAGGTCACTATATCAAAGCTAAGAGGAGAACCTATGTCTCTTAACTTTCAGTTCTATTTTCCTTTCATTGGGGCATGTGTTTTGGGACCACTATAACCAGAAATAGAAGGTGAAGTTCAAGTATGCAGACCAGACAAGCATATGTCAGCCTTTGGTTTTCCCCAGGGCCAGATTCCAACTCTGTGTGCATAACTCAGTCAGCAGGACATTAGCATCTTCATGAAGGATGGAGAGTCACATCGAAGTCTCTTCTTTGCCCTTTTCTGTCCCATAAGACCCAGTCCAGAATCTGGATCTAATTGAATTCTCATTTTTCCTTGCTTATTTTGGATGTGGTTGTGGTTGCACTTTATGTTGTAGCTCTTACATTTTATCTTCAAGTTGACTTAACTCCCTTTACGTTCAACATTTACTAAGAGTTTACTGTGTACCAGTCATTATAACAGACTGGAGATACAGGGAGATGGATCTCACAGTCTTAATTACTATCACAGTGCAACATATTCTGTGTGAGATATGCTTGCAGTGCTGATGGGGCACTGAAGAAAGAGAGGCTGAGATCACCCAAAAGAGTAAAAAAAGACTGAGTGAATCAGGTGGTAATTGTTCTACTTTTACTCCCCTGTCCTTTTTCTTATCAGGGTAGAGAAGTTCATTTTATGCATTGATATTTTCCTGGGCTATCTCTCCTTGTTTTCTACAGAAGATAAATAATATGTAGGATTCTTCCCTCACTTCCATGCCCAACCTTAGGTTTAGATATCTTACCAGTTCTTCATGAATTTTCTGAATAAAGTTAATTTCCCAGGATTTTGATTAATTCTTACTGCACCATGGAAAGCAAGTCATCAGGGTTTAAAGATAAATGCACATGTAGGTTAGTTGGGGTAGAGATATTGTTCACCAATTATTTCTTCCCCTAGTTTGGTTTTCTCATCTATTTTTTTTAAAAAAATTAGCTGGGCGTGGTAGCGCGCACCTGTAGTTCCAGCTACTTGGAAGGCTGAGGCGGAAGGATCGCCGGAGCCCAGTAGGTCGAGGCTGCGGTGGCCGGGAGCGGCCACTGCACTCAGTCTGGGTGACAGAGTGAGACTCCAACTCAAAAAGAAAAAAAAAAAATTGACAAGCAAATGTCTAAATGTTTATGAGAAGCCCAAAAGTACTGTTAACATTTTAAACAAAATCTGAATATCAGATCAATTTTTGTTTTACTTTCAAAATACTTTTCCTCTTTCTTTATCTTAGACCTTTTTTTCATGCTTCCATAAACTTTAAGGTGGATGTGGATTTTGGGTAATTAAACTCGTCGCAAAAAAAGGAAAATTATCAATTAAAGATTGCTTGTCTGTGTTTAATCAGTTGATTGGTCTGTGCTTCATGACAGTATGGTCTTAGATTATATTAAATTCCCAGAAAAGTACAGAATAAACAATAATTTTTAAAGCACCTACTATGTGGCAGGCACAGTGCTAAGTATCAGTAGAATAGCAATGAACACATGTCCTCATTTAATACATGTAAGCAGACAGAGCCACTGGTCCATGAACTAAACAGCCCAGAACTGGAGTAGGTATTCATAGCATATCACAA